TTGGCTCTTAGAAATGCACATTTGATAGTAGCTTGAGTTAGGATGCAGTTCATTTTGTTCATTATCAAAATCAGTAACATCTGTAAAAATTGTAGCAACCTCAGTTTTATATGGTTACATTTATTCTGACCAAGTTTTTATTTATTTATTAATTTTTTAATTAAGCATCGGTCTCCCATAGTAACATACATTTAATCATGATAAACACAGTTAAAACCACACATATAGCACCTCAATACCATGGTACAAATATAACTATATGTTTTTTAGGTATAGCCTGTATGAAAAACAGTAGTCTAAAAACATTCAGTATAAATGCACACATGCTATAACTTAATCACAATTACATACTACAATTATATAGGCCTACTATTACTCCTGTAATAAAATTCAGTGTGAATATCCCAAATTTCTGCCACAATACCATGGTGCAGTGAGTGTTACTACAGTAAATCCATGGTAAATGATGGCGATTTGTAGATTGAAAAGCCTTCTGACTGTCTCGTTGCACACAGTGTTCCTCCTGTTTGGCTTTAAACTAGTTTAAAGAGTTAGTTCACCCAGCAATGAAAATTAGCTTGTGCTTTACTTACCCTCGAAGCATCCTAGGTGTACATGACTTTCTTCTTTCAGACGAATCCAGTCGGAGTTATATAAAAAATTGTCTTTGATCTTTCAAGCTGTTTAATGGCACTCAGCGGGTGTTGCAGTTGAACAGTCCACAAGTCGTCAAATAAAGCTCGCGCATTCATAATAAAACGTGCCGCAGACGGCTCCGGGGGATGAATGTAGCGAATCCATGAGTTTTTGTAAAAAAAATATCCATATTTCAAATGTAATAAACCGTTTTCTCTCACTTCCGTTATCTATCATACGCGGATCCGTTCCGGCGGAAGGCGTATGACGTATGCGCAGTGCGCGCGCCTCTGAGATATGCTAGTCTCGCGAGTTTGTTTACAGGAGCAAAGGAAGCAAAGTTTCCTTACTTTAGCAAAGGAAAACCAGTCTCCTCTTGGTTTATATCGAAATCCTCCGACAATTTTCTTTGCAAATCTTCGGTTTGTATTTCTAATTCATGACCGGCGTGTTGTTTTGTTCTCTCTCCGCATTCGTCACTAGTCACGCAACGCCGCGCATCTTACGTCATCCGCCGGAACTGCTTCAGTGGATGACAGTCAGCGGAAGTGAGAGAAAAGTGTTTATTACGTTTGAAATATGGATATTTTTCTTACAAAAACTCATGGATTCGCTACAAGGGGCCTTTATTCATCCCCCGGAGCCGTCTGCGGCACGTTTTATTATGAATGTGCCAGCTTTATTTGACGACTTGTGGACTGTTCAACTGCAACACCCGCTGAGTGCCATTAAACAGCTTGAAAGATCAAAGACAAGTTTTAATATAACTCCAACTGGATTCGTCTGAAAGAAGAAAGTCATATACACCTAGGATGCTTCGAGAGTAGGTAAAACACAAGCTAATTTTCATTTTTGGGTGAACTAACCCTTTAAATCACCGAGTCATTTGTGTTCATCGCTGAATTCAAGTGCTTCACACTGGATCTCACAGCGCTGCTTAATGCTCGCGTGACCGAGTAAACGCATCTGCTCTAGTGAGCTCGCACCGCGCGACAGTTTGAACTTTGATCCGAGCGGATAAATAGTCCGTGTGTGCTAGAATCCCTTACAATTGATCTATATTTCATAAACAGGCATTACTTGCATGGTCATTAATCTTTAAGCACAACTTCTCCCCTCACCGTTACTTCATGTGGAACAATCAAGACATTGTATATAAGAGAAAATCTTTGTTTTTTAGTAGTTGGTTTGAGAAAAACATTTTGATTGTTTCCCAGTTATTTAACTCAGAAGATCTTATTTTAAGTTACGAAGAATTCTTATGTAAATTAAATTTTCCAGTAACTCCCAAAGAATTCTCCTTTGTCATGGACGCTATTCCTAAAGGAGCTGTTATGCTTTTAAGGGACTCTGTTAGATCACTTTATCTATTTCTTTAGACCCATTTGAAATCCCTGTAGGAAAACTATGCTTTTTGCCACATCCTTCACCACATAACTATAAGATTAGATCGCTTTTTCAAAAAGAGCTTGTAACAACTCCATATGCGATGTCTTATTGGAAGAATGTGGTTGATTATATTGAATGGAAAAAGTATGGACTCTGTCTTCGAAATACATCATACCTAACAAGGTTAGAGAAATCTCATTCAAATTGTTACACAGATTTTACCCAGCTAAAGTGTTTTTGAAAAGGTTTAAATCAGACATAGATACAAGCTGTTCTTTTTGTGGTGACCCTAATGAAACTGATATGCATATCTTTTGGGATTGTCCTCACACACAGCTATTTTGGATTTAATTTTCTAATGTTATCAATCGTAGTGTATTCCAGGCTTTCTCTCTGCTTTTTAAGGATGTACTGTTTGGCTTCTTTAATATACAAAAAGATCAAATTAATGAATATTTTATTATTAACCTATTATTACTTCTTGCTAAATTTCATATTCACTGCAGTAAATTCACTCATCAAAATCCTTTATATATTGTTTATAAAAAAGAGGTTCAACAGTATATCCAGACTATTTCATCTTCCAAGAATTTCAAGGCTTTTAAAACGGTTAATTTATTTTGTTAAATCTTTCGTTTCGTATTATTTATTTATTGTTATATACGTCTATAAATGGTGCTTTGCATGTAATGTCAACTCTTTGTATGTAATGTTGATATTCTCTGTATTTTTATATTTGGTACCTTGGCATTAATATAAAAAAATAAACGGTCCGTGTGGCGCGATTCAAATGGGTCGCGCTGTTTTGTTACGCTTTTGGCGCATAAACATTATATCGAACATTTATCGAACTCTTCATATCATTGTATCGAGGAAAATTATATAGTGATAATTATCGTTATCGAAGTATCGCCCAGCCCTATTGTGAAATATTACAATAAAAACGTCAGTTTTCTATTTTAACATATTTTAAAATGTATTTAAATATGTATTTTATTTCTGTGATGGCAAAGCTGAATTTTCAGCAGCCATTGCTCCAGTCTTCAGTGTCACGTGATTCTTCAGAAATCATTCTAATATAAAACATGTATTATTACTTAAAGCAGTTGTTCTGCTTAATATTTGTGAGGATATGTTTTATTTCAGGATTTTTTTAATTTAACCTTTTGTAACATTATAAATGTCTTTACTGTCACGTTTGATCAATTAAATGTATCTTCTGAAAAAAAAAAAAATCTTACTGACTCTCAAATCTCATTAGTCATTATTTGTAACCATAGACTGTATAAAAACATGGACGTAGTGTCCGTGACGTCACCCATAGATTTCCGAAGAGCACTTTTGAAGCTCAAAAGTGGGCGGAGCCAGCCGTCGCCATCTTGGCAGTGCATCACCGCGCGTCACTCCCGGATAATCGAAAATGGGCTGGACAATAATTCAATATCAATATGTATCGCGATATAATTTTTT